GCCATAGAGGGAAATATTTTTTTTTATGCTGACAAAAGTTGTATTATTTGCTTATAAATATATATATAAATATATATATATAAAGTGCCTAGAAAATCAACATAACGATGTTAGAGAAGATCTGATTCTTTACTTCCTCCCCGAGCGAGGCTGGAACCTGTACTTTTTATTTATAACTCCTACGACAACACCGCATAGCATTGCGCAGACGCCTTATCCCCTCCTCTAACTATAGCTGATAAAAATCAGCTTTCGTTTCGGGAGTTGTTACCTTCTCGTAGGAATTAAACAAAGGCATCTGATGCAATACACGAAGTATTCTTTAGTGTACAGAAATTATCATCTATTTATCTCTTCAGTATAATTACAGGATGCTAATCTATTTTTAGAAGCATACAATCACTGTAAATTAATATATGTATATGTCTGCCTATGTATAGTGACAACTGCAAATTATACCTTATCCATCGGATTTCTTATGATGAAGAAATACCAGGCAATTACTCTAAATATCAGCACAACAATGTTAAATCTGCAAATTCGCAGGCCTAGTGTTACCTTTCCTCGTCAGAAGAATCAAGAGTTGTAACACAGTACATGATATATTAGGCATGAAGATGGAATTGATTGCAGATTAGCTAAATTATCTATCGTAAAGGATCGTAAGATGCAGTCACGGAAATAATTATTTGATAAGTACGTCTAAACAAGTGACAACTCTACGACAGATCCATCCATTGGATCACCAGTGAAGGTGTGTTTTCAGTCGTATATTATTGAATAATTATGTATATATATATATATTATATTTTAGAAATATTGTTTAAAACCTTAGGAACTATTAGACTGTATATCAATATGTATATACGTTACTACTCTAAATATCAGCACAACAATGTTAAATTCGCAATTTTTGTTCTTCCCTCGCCGGGATTCGAACTCATTCTATTGGGATATCGAGACAATACCGCCTGCACTGTGTCCAGCGCTCTAGACCACAGCTTTCGGTGGCCTAGTGTTACTTTTCTTGTTTAGACGTACTTATCAATATATATATATATACTGAAATACAGTCGAATAGTTCCTAAGGTTTTAAACAATATCTCTTTAATATAATTATTTTCTTACATACCTATGTAAACTAATGTCACACTACGAGTATTCTTTTCAATGCTACCTTAATGATTTTCGACATCATTTTGCATTAAAAAATATCATGATATGTAACTTATTAACCTTTTATGTGTTCTCCTTGGACAAATTGTCTTCCTAAACGACACTTCATTCATGGTCTGTTACGTGACCAAATTTAGGTTATTGTTCACTAACAGTAGCTGATATCTCTTTTTATGTTGCTCGTTTTCCTACAAGTAGTATCAGCTGTAAAATATAAATGAATATAAATAGGTTATTTACCATTTCTAAGATATTTATATCCAAGGTTACATATAACATGCTAATAGGTAAAAAAAATTAAAATGTGAATACTCCACTTACCCAAACCTCTTTACGTAAAAGAGGAACGAAATTTGGCTTGTTTACGATCTTCCAAAAATAAGCTCTAGATTTCTCTTTGGTAATATCTTATGACAATACTGTCCACTCTACCTGTTAGAAACGTTGACACTGCATAAGGTTTGCGGTATATTTCTGTCAATTTAAACTGATACGTATGATTTGAATTACATTCTATGTTAATGAAAAAATCAAGACTTCAGTTCAGTATTTTTTTAATTACCAACGGAGCAGGATATGCGTACCTTGCCGGAGTACCTAGGATCAACCAACTTTTTTGTTGGGTTCGTGTTGCTCAATCTTAAAACTTTCTTTGTAGTATTTTGGTTATCTTGTTTTTATACCCCCGCTTTAAAAAAGTGGGGTATACTGTCTTACCTCTGTCTTTCCTTCCGTCAGTCCATCCGTCAGTCCCATGAATATTTTCGTCGCATTTTTCTCAGGAAGTACTTGACAAGGATTTCTGAAATTTGGTTTCAGGGTTTATATAAGTAAGTTACACCTTGTGATGCGTTTTCAGATTCATCACTCAACAACTTTCTGTTTACCGAAATATTTCGGCGGGGGTATCATCAGTGAGCAGTAGCTCACAGTTTTACATGTTCCTTTTGTCGACTTTCGTATTTTGCCTCCGCGTATTTTGTATATTTAAAGGATTATATCACAGCTATGTAGCAACATTCCAGCAGCGCCTGCATACGGAGTATATATCTGCCAGTTAATATGATAGTCCATGGCTTGTATTTCCTATCATGATTTCCTTAATAATGGGTTGCTGCTGACAAGCAAGCTGTTTAACCAAGAGTTCCAAGTGGTGTAGTGGAAATCATCTCTTCGTAAATTTTACGGACGCCATTACGAGTTGGATGACCGTTATGGAATTCTCGTTTCACAGATGATAGCGGATATGTTCCAATTGTCGTAACTACTATCCGGCCTATCATTCCAGAGCATATGAGAGCACCCCCAGTTTTTGATGGGGTTCGTGTTGCTCAGACTTTAGAGTACTATGTTGTGTTTTGTGTACTGTTGTTTGTCTGTTGTGGTCTTTTTCTCTTTTAGCCATGGCGTTGTCAGTTTATTTTCAACTTATAAGTTTGAGTGTCCCTTTGGTAGCTTTCGATTCTCTTTTCTAAGTAATTTGTGTTTAATTTCATTAACAGGTTATGAGTACACAGAGGGTGTTGTTGTTGAGATTAGTAACGATGCAAATTCGTTTGCCCTACTTAATTTCCTTTATGATAGAGGAGAAAATCTCACGGTTGTTGCTGAAATTATTGACCAGCCGACAAACCTTTTTATCAACGGAACCGTTGAGCTTTCCAAGAAGACTGGTTGTGTGAACGTAACATATCAAGATCTGTCTTCACTTGAGTTTGGTACATACCACCTGATGCTTAGAGTAGAAACGGAACAAGGTGATTTAGAAGTTACAGATTTGGTTTTATTCTATGAAGAAAGGATCACTGGTTTTCAGGTGAGAAAATTATTTCATTATTTAGATAAACAAATAGACGATGTATCTCGATTTTCTAAATTAATGACATTATTTGAAACTTTATTTGACCATTGTTTAACATTTTGCACACACACAAAAAATAAATGTTATTGCGATCTTGAGTTAAGTTGTTCAGCTGGAAATTTAAAGTACTCATCTAAACATTGTTGACACATCAATGTATTATGTGTTGTGAACTTAACTATCTATTAACTATTTACTTAAATATACTATTATACTTTTTAAAGACAGAATCATTTTTCTTACCCCTGACATATAATATATTGATGTATGTATTCTGCATTAAAGTATTTTTAAACTGTTCACTTTTGTCCATAGGTACCTGATACAATGTTGGCTTTAACCAATTCTGCAAAAGTGTTACCAGCTAACATAATGACTGGGAGCAATCTTGACGTGGAATGGTTTGTACGCGATAATATTTCTGAACGTGATATTACTGCTGGGAATCCGATTGAAGTGATATCATACCATACATATGAAGTACCAGATGATTATAATGTTACCGTGGTTGCAAGGAATTCTTTGGACGAGACGTACCTGACAAATATAAAAATAACGGTAATTCGTCCCGTGGAAGGTTTTTTTGTAAATATTTCCAAAGCTAGCCAAGTAGGCAATGTTACTACTTATAATATCAGTCAAATAAGCAACATCACCAGGGAACAATCTGTAAATGAAAATGTGACTGATGACCTTATCAATCCCGATAAAACAAACACATCTCAAGAATTGCAAACTGAAATTCTCATATCACCTGAGGATGAAATTCAAATTGATGTGTATTTAGATTCCGAAATTAGACTTCCGATGGGAAATCTTACTCTTGATATATATTATGACGATGATTGGAACGAATCTGTTTACATCGGAGAAAATTTGACAGAGTTCCTTACAAACGGATACCGATTAACTCATACATATATGGAACAGGGAGATTTTGTCATAACAGTAAACATAAACTCAGAGATAAGCTCTAAAATTATGATTTTGGATGTACATGTTTGGGAGGATATCAGTAATTTATCAATGTCTTCTGTCAACATAGCAAGAGTTTACGAAAATATTATTTTCTCGTTCGATAACATCCTACAAAAAGGCTTTAATTATGAAATAAAATATGGTGATAATGTAACAAAAGAAGGATCGCCAGCTGCATTTTATTCAGACTTTAACGTTGCACCTTGGGAATACAGTTATACTCAAGATGGGGTATTTATAGTTGAAATGAGAACATGGAATCCGTTTTATAACAGTTTCACAAATTATGAAGTCCGTATACAGTTTCCAATCCCAGACTTAAAATTACTTCCGAAAATTCGTGATCCGCCGTTGATTCTTCCAATACCTGATGGATGGCGTCTATACACCATTAATATGGTCAACAATGATCCAACACCAACTAATGTCACCTGCTACTATAGTTTTGAACCGGATCGTCCTCTTAAAAACATGTCAGTTATGATTACTAAAGACCAACCTGTACAAAAATGGAACAATTTTCACACTGATGGATTAAAGAATACTACCGTTTTTTGCCAAAACGATGTCAGCAATTACACTTTACAAACGCAAGTGTATATGCAAGCAGTAGAGCTGTCTGATTTTCTCATTTCTTACCAGACAGTGGTAGGAATGAATAAAACAATGACAAGTCGTACGAATGAGCTGGACGAAACAACTCTTATTGTAGAAGATGTTCCAGTAACAGTTGAATTTCGTGTGTCTATCTTAAATTGTTCAAGATTTCCTTTTAGTACATATTTAAAATATGACTTCGGCGATGGAAGTTCTCCGACCGATTTTGCTACCTTGATAACGTTTAAACACACTTACACGATTAGAGGTGAATATAATATTACGGTGACAATAAAAAATAATACTGATTTAATCACAAAAACACTTCCAATAAAAATAGGATTAATAGATTTTTCAGTTAGTTCTTTCTTAGGATCTGTTGATTCTACTGAATTTATCTTTAATATGTCCGGAATTGGAAATGGCAGTTACCGATTGGACGTTGGGTCAGGAGTGGTATACGATGTCTATAAAGATCCGGGACAAATAAAACATACATACACCTCAAGTGGCTATTTCGTAGCAGAGTTGGTATCTTACAACGAAACCTTTAAAGAAATCATGTATCTACAACAGGTTATTGTAGCAGATTACAATATGACTGGACTTAGCTTTATTATTCCGGATAAAATAGACCTTCCACCAGGAAATATGACAGTTAATGTCATAAGCGACTCAAGTTATCCAATGGTGACGTGTATATATGACATGGGCGATTTGATAAATAGAAGAATTTATAACCTGACCGCCAATATAACTAGAGAGGAACCGTTACAATTACATTTCACTTACCTTACTCTTGGTAATCATACTGTTACAGTAAAATGTAACAATAACTACGATACCCAGATACGTAAACACATAATCAATGTTTGGAATGAATGTTTTACAGTGAATGGAATATTTGATCGCCAGTACTCAAATACATCCAATCCTATGAGGGTATTTACGTCAACAGATTTTGATCTTGCTAGTAGAATGGCTGTGTATTGTTCTGACCAAAGTGTAATATTCCAATGGAAATTATTTACAGTTGTAAATGAAATGGAAGATGTCCCTGTTTTTGAGCATTTTCCCTACACACCTGTAGGCAATCCACGTGGGAGCATTCGTTTTGCAAGAGGTACAGTTCCTGCAAACTTGTATAGAGTCACACTAAACGTGACCTTGCAAAACACATGGGTTTATGAACCAACATATTTAATGTTTATTAAGTCTCCTCCTTTTGCATATATAGAGGGTGGATTTGAAAGAAATGTCCAAGTTCTTTTGAAGAATATTACATTGAATGCTCTTAATGTTTCGTATGATCCTGAGCTGGGAAGTGGTGGAAATCAAGAATTGGAATTTGATTGGACATGTAAAAGGTACTAAGTCGTTATATGGCGTTGAATTAAATGTTACTTTTTTATATTACCTATTTTTTTAATTGCTGTAATCTCCTCTGTTATGTTTGATTATATAATTTTGTTGAATACGAAAGAAGATTATAAAAAAAAATTATTATTAAAAAGAGGGGCGAAAGATACCAAAGGGACATTCTAACTCATAGGCAGAAAATAAACTGACAACGCCATGGCTAAAATAGAAAAAGACAAACTATAGTACACAAAACACAACTTAGAAAACTAAAGACTGAGCAACACGAACCCCACTAAAAACTGGGGGTGATCTTAGGTGCTCCGGAAGGGTAAGCAGATCCTGCTCCACATGTGGCACCCGTCGTGTTGCTCATTTTAGTACAAACCCGGCAATAAGTCTAATTCGGTAGGTTACATTCGGGAAAAGGGGACGAGATTGTAGTTACGACGTTAGGAAGATATCCGCTATTATCTGTGAAACGGATATACCGTAATGGTCAACCAACTCGTGATGGCGTCCGTAAAATTTACGAAGGGATGATTTCAACTTCACCACTTGGAACTCTTGGTTTAATAGCTTCCTTCTGAGCAGGCAACCCTCTATCAAGGAACTCATGATAGGAAATACAAGCCCTGGATTATCGTATCAACTGGGAGATATATACTCCGTATGCAGGCGCTGCTGGAATGTTGCTACATAAAAATGGAAAGTTCACAATTGGGAAGCTGAAATCATCTCTTTTTTCATAAAGTTTTGTTTTCAACCGACCCTCATTGTCAATTTCTAGATGTAAGTCCAGATATGAGGCAGACTTAACTGAATCTGTTGTATCTTTTATCTCAAGTTCGATTGGATAGATGCGTTCAACATAGTCACCAAATTTTGAATTATTTAGTGAGAGAACATCATCTATGTAGCGGAAAGTAATGTTAAAGGATACTGCCAACTTCTTTTCCTTCTTCCTAAGAAGTTCCTGTATGAAGTTAGCCTCATAAGAATAAAGGAACAAGTCGGCAAGAAGAGGGGCACAGTTGGTTCCCATGGGAATGCCGATTGTCTGTTGAAAAAAGCTGTGATCAACTAAATATATATTAAATCTAATGAAAATACTACGATACAAAAAGTAAAATAGCAAAAATACCGAACTCAAAGGAAAATTCAAAGCGGAAAGACCCTTATCAAATGGCAAAATCCCAAGCTCAAACACATCAAACGAATGAAAAACAACCGTCATATTCCTTACTTGGTACAGGCATTTTCTAATGTACAAAATGGTGAATTAAACCTGGTTGTATAGCTAGCTAAACCTCTCACTTGTATGACAGTCGCATTTACACTTTACCAAGTATGACATTAGTTCGTTCTTATTACAGTTTAATTTAACTATAATTTCAGGACAAATGTAACATCGTTAGATGCACTTGATGTCAAATATACCAGTAATCCGTCGTCATTTGAAGACTGTTCGGAACTTCTTACTGTCAAATCTCGTGGTATAACGGTACTAATATTACCAGACAAGATGAACCAAGGATATGCTATAAAAGTGAATGTTACTCTAGAGGATATGCATACAGAATTCACCCAATTAATCTATGGCGTCTTTGGAGATCCACCAGAAATGAATGTTAAGTACGTAATTAAATTAAAAAAGGTAGAAATTCTAAGATATTTTTCAAATTAAGGAAACATGTTTACAAAATATGAATCTTAAAATATGAAATATGAGGTTTTTGTTCATGCGACAATTTTAAGAACATTATATCAAAGGAAAAGCACGGTATCCGCCAAAAAGATTCCAAAAACAAATAGGAAGGGTAAGTGATTATCTAACTATCACTACAAAAAGAAGGGATAAAGTGATGAGAAAATCCCAAGCAAACAGTATATTTAAGATGGTCTTATTTTTAACAATTGAGATCAACTTCTGATAGCACTTTCAAGATGACCAGTCGTCCCAAATGAAGGAAAATATCTTCGAATAAACAAACTACTCGGCCATCATTAAAGGCGTAGCGAGAATGGCCGAGTAGTAATGGTTGCTTAAATAAACACCACAGAACAAAATCTTGAAACAATGATGTTGGCAATAGGAGTTCCCTCGAAAACAAAATACTACTGTTGCAAAGTTAAGGTAGCTGGGGTGGCTTCCCATATCTTGGATTTTGAAATAGCAGATAGCAATCGGTCTAGATCTTTAATGAAATGTGCAAATTTTGAGAGCAGTATGTAATTCATTTGTAAGACTTTTAATGTTAATATAGAAAATTATGTGTTCTATCATATTTACGGCTGTATTTTACCAAAAACAGAATATTTTTGTTTGATTCATTTTTTTTTCAACTTTGCCACAAAAAAGAAAGATAACTCAGATGTAAGGGGAGATAACTCAGATAAAGTAACTTTTAAAATGGAGTGTGTTGTGAATTTACCTACTTTTGTAGCAAGAAAACGAGTCCGGTGACCCTATTTTTTCTTTTTCTTATCCGAAAAATATATTATTAGTGCTATCTTCTCATATTTTATCTTAAAATTCTATGATGAAGTTTTCTTTTTATCACACAAAATTGGGATTTCCATGCATAATCTATACAAAATCTGACAATTTTGCACAACCTGTAGCGTAAAAAAAAGCCTGGTGGCCCATACTTTTTATTATATTTTTGAAAAAGCAATATATAAACTACATTTTGACAAATAATTAAAGAAATCTATGGATATATATTTAGACCCCTACCCCCACCCCCATCTACCTTAACACGTTAAAGTATAAAAAAAATTAACACACAAAACATTGTATTTTACTTTGCATTTTGGACATTTATGTTCTAGATGTAATCTTAACTGTGATATGAAATACGCTATAATGTTGAAGTCAGATTGGGAAGGACAATGTACAGACTGTGAGGCAGTGGAAGATATAAAATATAATTGGTTTCTAGAATATAAAGATACCTTCAGTAATTGGATAGCAGTTAAAAACTTTGATGACATTCTTGAAACAGGTAATGTGATATAAAGAAATTATTATATTTGATCTTATTTAATGTTTTCTGTCCCTGAACTAGGATTGCCAACACACAAGGGGCTACTAGTGGTTCTCTTCAACAAACACAAAACATATAAATCAGTGGCGGATCCAGAGGGGGCGTAGAGGGCGTACGCCCCCCCCCCCCTTTTTGCTTGCACTTTTGTTTTCTTTTTTTTTTTTGTAAAATGATTAATCAGACTAGACTTCGCGAACTTTGCCATTTCCCGTGTATTTAATTTTTATGCGACAATTCTTTACTTATAAAGATATTTTTCGCTCGTATTTGCTGTAATTTATTATTCATTATGTCAAAGTCATGTGATTCGCTACGGTGGAGTTGACAAGTACGTCGAAAAAAAGAAATGATTAATACTTTTGGAAAACTTTGTTGCGACATACTATTACAAAACAAGAACAAAAAACATTTACAAAAAAAAACAAAAAAAAAAACATATTGGTTGCAATCTTGTAATTGACTGCTCCATATGCTAACATGCAAATCAGCTGATCTTTGAAATTCCTTTAAAATAAAATGCTACATTGGAGTTGTAAAACAAGACTGTTACTATATACAAGAAAAATACAATTCATGTATCTTAACAACACAACAGTGAGACATACACAAACCACATATACAGACACGTTTTCACGCGCACATGCATAGACAGCCAATCAGAAGCTTTTCCCTTTTACCCAATAATCTAAAACAATGTATAAAGTTGTACGTACACCATCACGAGTATAGGTTGGTCATTATGAAATATATGTGCCACAAGATGACCACGAATATGTTGTTTCAATTGTCATAGCCACAATCCTGTCCTATTTTTCTCGATTGTGAGACCATCGAAAGAGACTTAATGGTGGGTTCGTGTTGTTCAGTCTTTAATTTTCTATGTAGTGTTTAGTGGACTTTTTATCTTTTTGTCGTTTTATGTTTTTTTTTCTTTTGTCCTGATACTATCAAGTACAAAAAGTAAAGCCTAATAGTTTGCTTTTCATATCCTTTACCCTTTATTGCATTCTAGTCAATATTTCAATCTCCAGTAATCAAATGCAAGGAGTAAAATGCAGGCTAAAAAAAAACGCTTTATCATTCTCTCTTCTTAGATAAGAAAGGAGATTCTGAAACTTTTGATCATCTTGTAAATAGTTCCTGTCGTTAATAGTTTCCTGGAAAAAGATCATTAGAACATAGATGTACTTGATTGAGCAAAATATTTTTCTTTAAACTTATAAATGGTGGTATTATTATTTACTACTGAATAATAAATATTCTACAATTAACTCATCATAGATACCAGGATTAAATTCTGTACGCCAGACGCGCGTTTCGTCTACAAAAGACTTAGTGACTCTCAAATCAAAAAAGTTAACAGCAATTAGGACCTAAAATTCCGAAAGGTGTTGCAAAATAAAGCCAAGTCTATTTCTATGGTAAACACTCCTTAGTAATTCGAAGAAAATAATTCAAAGTTTTGTAAAAAGTTGATTTATAATTATGACCATTTTAATGATAGTTCATGTCAACACTGAAGTGCTGACTACTGGGCCGGGCAAGATAGTGGGACAATGTTTATTTTTATTACAAAATAAGGGAATGCGACAATGACTTTTCCGTCAAGTATTATATACACCGTATACATAAAATAGATAAACTTCGAAACTATGTGTCAAAAGTGTTAAAATCATTTTTGATTAATTAAATAAGAAAAGACATTTTATTTACTTTCGCTCCTCTTGACAACTTTTCTTTTAACAGGTGTACATGCACGTTCACTGGTTATTTCTCCAAATGCCTTATTGAACAATACGTTTTACCGTCTAGCTGTTAGGGCCACGGGATATGGAAGAGTAGGCGAGGGAGAAGCACGAATCATTTTTCTGACAAATTTAGAACCGTATGGTGGAACCTGCTCTCCATACCCAGAGACAGGTACGATTAAAGTTTCTAAAGATTAAAATTTCAAAATGCAACTATCATTATAATAATTAAAGTTTTAACTTCTTTAAACTGTTTACAAACTTTATCCTTTAAGAACACATTATGGGTGGCATTAGAACCAAAGCAAGCGTCATGTGCAATTACGTCAGTTCTGTTACTTTGAAGGTTCAGGAATGCAGTTAATTAGAAATTGTCCCGAACTATAACAGCAACACAAAACAGAAATAGTATATAAAAATAAAGATATGTGGTATGATTGCAAATGAGACAACTATTAACCAAACACCAAAGAACAGGAAGAAACGACTACAGTCTACATTACAGCCTTCATTATATTGATTTAAAGTGTTTACTAGCATTGTATCATTGCCAAATCAGAATGTTTTCGGCAACACACGAAATGGGGTCTGTGTTTTACTGTATTGATATGCAGAAAATAGGAGATAATATACTTTAAGGGTTTGCTTTGACGACTCTGTTTTCCATAAAATGCAATGGATGGCTTGATGAAGGACTGGAAAATGATAGAGACATTGATCGAGATTCCCAAAATAATAATCCTTTGATGTATGAATATTGGATGATACAGCCATACATGGACAGTTATGGTGACAAGCAGTATTTCAAGACTTCGTTACTAAAAGCAGGTATGTGTTTTTTCTTCTTTGTTGGTTAATAAGTAAAATAACAAAAATACAGAACTACAAGGAAAATTCAAAACGGAAAGTCCCTTAACAAATGGCAAAATCAAAAGCTCAAACACATTAAACGAATGGAAAACAACTGTCATATTCCTGACTTGGTACAGGCATTTCCTTATGTAGAAAATGGTGGATTAAACCTGGTTGTATAGCTAGCTAAACCTCTCACTTGTATGACAGTTGCATAAAATTCCATTATATTGACATCGAGTTGTTAATTTATGTGTCATTTGGTCTCTTGTGGAGAGTTTTCTCATTGGCAATCATACCACATCTTCTTATTTTTATATCAATGTGTGAACAAAACAAACAGACATAATAGGCAAAAATGTCAAAAATTGGGGTGCAGTAGTCAACATTGTGTTGTAATCTTAATCAATATAAAAACAAACAATTATATCAACAAAGAAAAACAAAATGGCATGTAGACACTCTCTATAGACAAGAATACAAAAAAATGACCATAGCACAATTTAATATTTTCCTATACTTGTGACTTTGATGTACCATTTCTATTGTTATGGTGATAAATATAAAAATAGTTAATTTCCGACTGATAAGCTGTTCAACAATATTTAGAATGGATGTATTGTTTATGAGAGGAAATATATAAACTCTACGAATACAAAACAAAACGAAATATCATATGTCTTGTTATTGCAAACTCTCGTTTATTACAACAACAGCGGTTTAAAAATGTATTTCTTTTTCAATTTCATAATAATTTCATTATAGTTATATTATGAAAATTAATACTGTTATGTACAAGTTCTAAACTAGTTTTTATTAATAATAACCATTTTTATCACATAATCAAAATCGTCATGTCATAAATAAAAACAAATGATTTTGGTTGACAAAAATAAAGTTGTTCTCACTTTTACACTCTAGGCGAAATGACAGCAACAGAACTGAGACTTCCAGCAGGAAGCCCAGAATACGATTACTTTACAGAGCTCTTTGTCAGAGTATGTGACAGATTTGGTGATTGCATGGAATACAAGATGAATGTAACTGTATGTTTATTTCATCAATATTCCCTTAATAGATATTAGAAATTTCAGTCATTTGTTGATGCAAAATCCAGAGCTTGCTAATCCTATCATGATTTTCGTGATGGAGAGTTGCTGCTTACAAGGAAGCTATTAACCAAGAGTTCCAAGTGGTAAAGTTGGAGATATCCCTTCGAAAATTTTACGGACGCCAGCATGAGTTGGTTGACAGTATTTGAGTATCTGGTTCTCATATGACGACGAATATGTTCCAATTGTCTTAACCACAATCCCGTCCTCTTTTCTTCGAATGTGTCTTACCGAATTAGACTTATCGCCAAGTGTGTACTAATGTGTGTAACACGACGGATGTCACGTTTGGAACAGAAATTGCTTACCTTTCAGGAGCACCTCATATCAGCCCGGTTTTTAATGGGGACCTTGGTACTAAGTCTTTTGTTTTCTATGTTGTGTTTTGTTGAGTGTTGTCTGTCTTTTGGTCATTTTTCTGTTTTTTGCCATGGCATTGTCAGGTCTTTTCGACCTATGAGTTTGACTTTCCAATTGCTTTTTTTCCGACTCTCTTTTTTAAAGCTATGTACAATTACTTGGATAACATCGGACTTGTTAAGTGTCTTTCCCAGTCTCTTTAAATAAAGGTGTTTTAAAGTAAACATTTCGTATATGGTTGCATATAAACCCAGTTAGAAAAGTAAACATTAAGTATATGGCTGCATATAAAACATGTAAGAAAGGTAAACATTAGGTAAGTTAGGTAAAATGGTGCGGGTCCGTGACTGAATTAAAGTACCTATGCCTTATTTTAAGCCTGGAATTTTAGTATTCGTATTGTCATCAGTTGAAGTCATGCTGATTGTAAGGTGGACAGTTTTCTCTGCTTTCAAAATCTTTCTGTTTGAACCTGTCCTGGTTTTCTTACTACAATAAACTAACTATAAACTATATTTAATTTTTAACTAATAAACCAAAATTAATAGTGGTATTGTAGTTGAAGAACACCGACTTGTTAAATAGTGTACTATAGTGTAACATAGATATAAAACAACTACTGGAAGAATTTCAGGTTCTCTTGATAGAGATTTACAAAAGGTAACAGGTACTACGGATACAGCCGGGAACTACATGTGCCATATACTATTGGTATCGGATTCGACCCAGAACTTGTTAATTATTGGTATTATTAATTATGTAGAAAACAAAAGGGCCTGGAATGTGTAATTTTTAAACAACACCATTGTCCTGTATTAGTTATATATAAAGTTGAATTCTTTGATTCGTCGTTTGTACGTCATGTCGGCTAACAAATTTGACCTAATTATTTAGTAGTATACATAGCATGCAATCCCTATCAAGATGCTATTAGAATGATACTGTATTAATAAAAGGAACTTTCACAATGGGAAAATTTATATCAGTCTTTTGCCGTAAGGATTACTGTATCTGTGTTTTTCTTTATTTTAAGTTAAATTAGATAAATATATTCATTATAGTCACAAAACTTTGCACTATTCAGTGACAGGGCATCGTGTTTAAAGTGGAACATGAAATTAAAAACAATGCTACTAGCGTCTTTTTATCCATTTAGGAGAAGCTCCTGTACGTAGAAGGAAGTCTATAGGAGAAGCAAATTGTGTCCTTTAGGAAATCCCCATTCACTAATCGTAATAAATATGTTATTAATAAAAAAAAAGTTTTTTATGAAACTTAGTTGGACTGGTTCTTTAACTTGTTTTTTTGTTTTTTTGTTTTTTTTGGTTAATGAATACTGATCATCCTCTTTCATTGATAAAATAATTATTTCATTTATATATTCAAGATTAAACCAGACACAGATTTGGTACCAATGGACACTGATGACACCGAAAAAATAACTCGATTACTTGACACGTCAAATCGTACTTTTAGCATAACTGATGCCGGTGGAAACAACATGGGGCTTATGCGTGTAGTGTCCTCTACAGTTAGCTCGTATGCTTCCCTGAATATGGTAAAACGTTAAAAACTTACTAAAATAAAACTTGTATTCATAATGGTTTAGTCAACTGTTCATTTCATGATGATGTAACATTATTTTAGTTCTGACTGAAAAGTTTTCAAACGATAAAGTTAACTATTATTTGAAATCCTTGGAATTCCAAATCTGTAATATATGGACCTGATATAAAAATTAAATTCTGACTTATGATAGACACAATACGTGTTAATCAAAACCTTGTCAATTATTTAAAACAAACCACAACAAACATCTCTAGGATATCGTATAAAGTGCCCCTTTCTATATATATTTCATTATATATCAAAGGAACATTCTTCTAACTTCTTTGTAATTTATGTATGAAGTGCAATGTTAACTAATTTTTCATGATAGCAGAAAAACGAATTTAAGATTCCTTGTTTGTGAGGTTATATTAAATATATAATGTAAACAGAATATTCTGTACAAGATTTGTTCAATGTGTGATTTGTTTTTGGTTTTAATCTCATTTATTTGGGGGATGGGTTCGGGTGGGGGATATGAATTTCGTATGTTGTCCATTTCAAATTTTATAAAATGAACCAGGATGCATGCAGTTTCTGAATTGTTTTCTTGTTAATAGCATAAATGCAGAACGATAAGATTTTTCTTTCATTTTTTTGCATCTCATCAGACATTGGAGTCCGCCTCTGAGATATCTAGTCCTGACGAAATTTTAGAATATGGAAACGAAAATATTTCTGATGTACAGAACGTTTTAACAGAGGTAAATAGTACATAGAAATGACGTGCACTTTTGAATGAATGCATATCATATGATTAACTACTGAAGACATCGGTGAAAAAAAAACAGTATAATTTTATTTTAACGCCTTCTTTGTTCATGTTTATTTAGTGCACACCCCTCATTGATTTATTGTTCATGACATTTCTTCACTCTAACAAAAAAGAACTACTGTCACGAATATAAATACTATTGTTCACATGAATTAAAATTTTCTTTTAGAATAACTATATACCCGTTATTAATAGGTTGTGTTATTAATGTCCGAAATAATTCATCTAGCTCGGCACTCAGGTTTCTCGAAAATTTAAAGTGTACAGTGGTAGTGAAACACTATAACTACAGTGGTAGTGATACACTATAACTACAGTGGTAGTGAAACACTATAACTACAGTGGTAGTGATACACTATAACTACAGTGGTAGTGAAACACTATAACTACAGAGGTAGTGAAACACTATAACTACAGTGGTAGTGAAACACTATAACTACAGTGGTAATGAAACACTATAACTACAGTGGTAGTGAAAAACAATAACTACAGTGGTAGTGATACACTATAACTACGTGTTAGTGAAACTTTATAACTACAGTGGTAGTGATACACTATTACTACAGTGGTAGTGAAACACTATAACTACAACACTATAACTACAGTGGTAATGAAACACTATAACTACAGTGGTAATGAAACACTATAACTACAGTGGTAGTGATACACTATAACTACAGTGGTAGTGAAACACTATAACTACAGTGGTAGTGATACACTATAACTACAGTTGTAGTGATACACTATAACTACAGTGGTAGTGAAACACTATAACTACAGTGGTAGTGAAACACTATAACTACAACACTATAACTACAGTGGTAGTGATACACTATAACTACAGTGGTAGTAAAACACTATAACTACAGTGGTAGTGATACACTATAACTACAGTGGTAGTGAAACACTATAACTACAGTGGTAGTGAAACACTATAACTACAGTGGTAGTGAAACACTATGACATTATTGTGCCAAAGTTTCTGCATGTGATGTGAAATTAATAAGAATAAGAAATTAAACGACCAGCAGTCGTTTCTAAATATTTGTCTAGATGACTATATTGTTTGCAAAATTTTGGAATCATCACTTTGCTTGACTCCGATTTGCTCGTTTCACTGTGTGTTCTCAATGAGGAGAATAATTAAAACAGAATCATCATTTTTAATATGCACAGTACAACGCAATGATATGTACTCTTTATCACTCCCTTAGACAAGATACTTGTATCTACGTTGTCCTGTCTTTTTTATGAAACAAAGCATGATCATTTTTTAGCTCACCTGACCCGAAGGTTCATCAATATCTTCTTCTAGAGAACTACTAAATGGAATGAAACCAAACATGACATGAATGTTCCTTATGAGTTGCTGACCAAGTGTTGTTTCTTTGAAGCTGATCCATCATCCAAGATGGCCGCCAGAGAGGGACTTAGTTTAACATAGGACCCTATGGGAAATACGTACAAATGTCTTCTTTTAGAGAACCACTAGATGGAATGAAATAAAACATGGCATGAATGTTCCTTATGAGGTGTTGACTAAGTGTTGGAACTTTGTAGGCGATCAATCATCCAAGATGGCCGCCAGCGGGGACTTAGTTTAACATGGGACCCTATGGGAAATACATACAAATATTTTCTTTTAGAGAACCACTGAATGGAATGAAACCAAACATGGCATGAATGTTTCTAATAAGGTGCTGGCCAAGTGTTGTTACTTTGTAGTCAATCAATCATCCAAGATGGCCGCCAGCGGGGACCTTAGTTAAACACAGGACCCTATGTGAAATACATACGAAAGTCTTCTTTTGAAGAACCACTGAATGGAATGAAACCAAACATGGCATGAAAGTTCCTAATGAGGTGCTGGCCAAGTGTTGTTACTTTGTAGCCATTCAATCATCCAAGATGGCTGCCAGCGGGGACCTTAGTTTAACACCGGACCCTATGGGAAATACATACAAAAGTCTTTTTTTGAAGAACCACTGAATGGAATGAAACCAAACATGGCATGAATGTTCCTTATGAGGTGCTGACCAAGTGTATTTATTTTGTTACAAATCCATCAACCAAGATGGCTGCCAACGGGGGACTTAGTTTAACAAAGGACCCTATGGGAAATATATACAAATGTCTTCTACTAGAAAACCGCTTAATGGATTGAAACCAAACATTGTATGAATGTTTATTTTGAGGTGCTGACCAAGTGTTGTTACTTTGTAGATGATTTGTCATTGTCCTTATAAAGTCATTTTCTACAATTTCAATGAATTTATTGGTAATTTCTGTAAACTTTACAAAAGTCTTCTGCTTTTGATTAAATTACGGGGCCAATATTAAACCAAATTTGGCCTCAATCATTATTAGGGTATCTGTTATGATTTTAATCTATATTTACATGATTTCAAAAACCAAAGAAGAATCAGGTGAGCGACACAGGCTCTTGGGAGCCTCTAGTTTCAATTTTTCTTTTAGTTTGGGGGATACTTGTGTAAAGGGTAGAAAAGTCGAATGTTTTAATACTATTACAAGAGGAAAGAGAATTAAATTGTATGTACTCTAACAGGTCTCTTGCATGTTTTAGTATCCTCATCTGATTCAGACCGCTAAATTGTTTTTTCACAATGTCATGTTGGTTAAGAATGTCAGTTGTAATTGTATTGTTATTACTTCAGATTAAGTCGACTTCTAGACGTCCTTTGATAAATGACTTTTTGTTAACAGTTAATATACTAACAACTTCAAACAAATAAACAATACAACTCTATAATCATATCAGCGATTTACAATTTTTTGTATGTTTCAGACAACTGATCACTTTGTCCAGGAAATCTTAAATCGAATCCCTGATGGAGTATCCAATGTTGAACTCCTACCTGCTGATATCATTTTAGCTGGGAAAAGTTTGGACAAATGTATACAGAAGACAGGTCTAGTGACAGCAGAAGCCTCGGTAAGAGCTTTTCTTTCGTCTTAATTATATTTTGGATAATAAAAATGTGTCTATGGTTAGCATGTGCAAATGGGTTTTCTTCTTCAGTAATTTTTAATACTTAAATTTCACGTTATAACTTTTATTAATATGAATAAGAAGAGGATCGGGGAATACGTCACCGAGACAGGAACCAAACAACACCAAAATCAAAATACATCTAGATGTTAACAGACGATCTTTAACAAAAGACAGGGATCTTCACTATCTGAAGCTCTAAATCGCCCCAGTCTAGAAAAGCTGTGAATTAACTAAATATAATTGAGAATGGGAATGGGGAATGTGTCAAAGAGACAACAACCCGACCAAAGAGCAGAAAACAGCCCACGGTCACCAATGGGTCTTCAACACAGCGAGAAAATCCCGCACCCGTAGGTGGGCTTCAGCTGGCCCCTAAACAAAAATGTGTACTAGTTCAGTGAAAATGGACGTCACACTCAACTCCGAAACATATAAATAAACTAAACTTAAAAATACATACACAAGACTATCAAAATCTGTCATCAACACAAACAAAAATGACAACACTACATTCAGATCTGACACTAGACAACCACCACAAATGTTCATGACTTCGGACAGACTTATGAAAATTGGGCGACGTTCAATAAGCTTTTGTCGTGACTCTGAGACATATGGATGTTACCGAGAATCTGAGACATATGGATGTTACCGAGAATCTGAGACATATGGATGTTGGTAGTGTTTTCTTTTGTCAGATTTTATGGACTTTCCCTTTTTGAATTTGCCTTGGAGTTCAGTTTTTTTTTTATACTCTTGTATATACAAATATACTAGCGACAATGTTCATACAACAAAAGTAAAATTATTGCTTCTATCGGCCAAAGTGAAAGTTTTGAAGGACTTTTAAATTATGAAAACATGTGTTTGAATTGGTTCTTTAATTAAATTTATCCAATTTGAATCATTACATCCACAGTATATCTTTATATTTGTGATAATATTTTAGTAATATCTGCAAAAACGCGCACATCGAGCAGAAGCAAATTGAACATCCTCATCAAGGAAAGGGAAATTACCAATAGGAAGGAAAGGGTTCGCGTTTATCAAAAATTTTGGTTTGACGATTATCAGATCAAGATCTAAACATGGATATTTTTAATTATTTTGTGTTTCATGTAGAGTTACGCTGAGTTGCAGTGCAGTTGCAGATGATATTGGCTCTATAATGGTTGTTTTGTTTTAAATTATAATCAAGTAATTGATAATGCGAATGTTAAAAATTAACGTCGTTCGGACCGAGTAAAGCGAATTAGACGTGCATTGCAATTCGTATTAAAATTTACGTTCGGACGTAAAACGTTTCGAATACGATTCGAAGTCGTTAATGCGAATCGAATTCGAATTACGTGTGAACGCACTATAAATGTTGTTTTGTTTTTAATCAAATCGTGTTATTTTGAGTGGGATCTGCATTTAGAGGAATACAATTAACCGTTAGACTCCATTTTAATACAAAACACTTTGATTTAACAAAGACTTATCAAATTTGAAATTTTCTGGTTGATTTCTTTTAACTTTATATAACTTGAAAACCGCAGTTTTATAGAATCTACTACTACAATTGTAACTTAAAAAGAACGGATTTTATTTTTAGTGACCGGAGCATATTGTGTTACCCAAAATCACGAAGTAGTTCCTTCTTTCTGCAAGTGGGGTGGGGGATTTCTTGTGTACTGATAAATCTAGTTAAACAGTTAAATGTGTCTTTTTACTCATATTAGATATGTATTTTATTTGCATGTTGTTTTTCTTATTATTAAAGAAATTAATTTAACCTAAAAAAAAATATTACAGAAGAACGTATTTTCGGCAAGTAAAGAGCTTTTGAGGAATGTAAGAAAACATACCAAAAAGAAACCTTTTCCTATGATGGAACTGGACGGTATATTGGAAGCCAATGCAGGTAAGACAAAATAACGGAGAAGATACCACGGGGGAATTTATTCTGAGTAAAATAGAAAACATGGTATCATTAAGAGAAATTTAAATTGAAAGTTGTTCTTTCAATTTTGAATAGGATAAAACCTGTAAAGTATCTGCCATTCGGAATCCGATACTTGCATTTTTCGTGTTATCATCTATATTTACAATTATCAGTTGTCATAAAAACGACGGGAGAAGGGCGGGTGGGAAAATCGAATCAACAAATACCTGATGAAAATATTTGCATTTTTTATCTTTTACAGAAGTAATTGGCATTATGTCGAAAAATCTTGATCTGTACCAAACAGCAGGCAGTGAAGACATTAATAATACGCTTACAAAAGAAACTGTGGAGAAGGAATTGCAGAGTTACTATGATTATCATCCCGAAAAATATGATGAGTTTATTAGAAAGTATAAGACGTTTGATAATATTGTTGAGAAGTTGTATGTAAAACGTATGAGGATTAGGAGACGCAAGAAAAGATTAGCTAGAATCGTAAGTTGTCATTTTAGCTTTCGACTAAAATAAACATATTTTTTTTACGAACGACATATGCATAAAACAATTAAAAGAATTAACAGAAAGGACACTAACTCGAATATTGTCAGTCACAAAATAAAACTAATTGTCTTCCGCTAAATATGAGTGTCAATATATCTGTTGAAGTCATTATAATCAAGTTTTTAGTAATAAAAATTACAAAAACCACTTATTGGACAACCAAAGAAACGATTAAAAACGTTCATGAATCATTAAAATCATAAACACAAAACGAAACATATACTGGAGTGATTTTTTTAACGATTCCTGTCTGTTCACAGGAAGATATTACTAAATAAACAAATGGAATTTATCTACCTTCGCTTCCTCTAAATAATTCAAACATTGTATCTCCCTTTTATTTCTCACTTGCTTAGACATGTGCGTGTTTGCAGATAAGGCTCGAATTTCAAAGCTGAAAAATCAATTAAAAAGAAGATTTTAACATAAGTTTTACTAGTTTTTGTCTAAATTGTAGCTTTTTTATTTATTCTACTGGCAGGAATTAGATATAAAAAAATCTGAAACATCGTAATTTGTTGTCTTAAGTAATATCTTAATATGTTGTTTATTAATTTCATTGTCAATAAGGCAATTGGGTATGATGTCAGATTATTTTATAGTTTCTATTAAATTCATTCATAACTTTTCGTGGCAATTTAGCATTGTGTCAATTGTTAAAGACTGTGTGTTGACCTCGGGCTTACTTTTTGTCGTTGGGCTGCTGAATCATTAGCGTACACTAAAGACAGCATCTTTAAATCATAAAAATGAAGTGGTTAGGAAATATTGAGATTTAAGAAATTGTCAATTCTATGGCTGAAAAATTTGCTTGACCAAAGTCTGCTAGAACTATGTTTTTATGCCCCACCTACGATAGTAGAGGGGCATTATGTTTTTCGGTCTGTGCGTCCTTTCGTCCGTCCGTCCGTCTGTCCCGCTTCAGGTTAAAGTTTTTGGTCAAGGTAGTTTTTGATGAAGTTGAAGTCCAATTAACTTGAAACTTAGTACACATGTTCCCTATGATATGATCTTTCTAATTTTAATGTCAAATTAGAGTTTTTACCCCAATTTCTCGGTCCACTGAACATAGAAAATGAGTGCGAGTGGGGCATTCGTGTACTATGGACACATTCTTGTTTATCCTTGGTTCCACCATTCCTCATTTAAACATAGTTGATAATATTTCACGTTATACAATTACTTTAAATATCTCACTCTAGATAATATACTATAATTTGGGATTTTAAATTTTTATCATAGGCCAAGAAAATTTTTAAGAACATTTTCGATGCACTGGATGAAGCTTTCAACATCACATCATCAACGGTAGCATTCGAAGAACCTGAAAAAGTCATCAGAAAAGAAAACCTCAATGTCAGTCTGGAAAAGAACCACCTTGAACACTTCAAGAACAAAACAGTAGTAAAAAGAGATGGATTTTCATTTGATTTCAATAATGAAACACTAGAAAATGTTACAGCTACTGATATTCAACTTAAGGTATGAAACACATTTATGCAGCACTATTTATTTCATCAACTGATACTGAAAAATTTCTAATTTGTCTCTCAAATCAGGATACAGCTACTGTTTTTTTTTTCTGGCTTTTTATAAATGGTAAATGAATACGTTTCAACACAAATCATGTAGATATTCATTGATTGTACTTGATACGTAGGTTAAAAATTCTTAATCTTAGCTCAACAATTGTATTTTAGGAAATAAATATTTAAAAAAAAGATTAACAACAAAAATGTGTAAACATACATCACAGACATACAACACAACTGATTTAAAAATTTCAAACACACTTACAAGTATATCTGACAAAGACGTCAACAACACTAATTTTTGTAGTTGATAGTACATATACTATAACATAATATGATGACGTATACACTTTTCCGGTAAAGTACAAATTCAGTAAAATATAAATGCAAGGATATACAAAATGAAATCAACCCGACAAAAACCTCCTGCTTCCGAATTGCACCCCAGGAACCATTGGGATCAGGGAGGCCTAAAGCCAAAAACCCGAAAACGGAATGCACAAATACCGAGCCACGTCAAAAGTCATACGACCAAATTAAACATAATTGTACAAAGAGTAACATGCAAGTTACAGGTTTGTCGCGTTTGAAAACCATGTCTCATTTGAATATGCCATACCAAGTCTGAACATGACAGTAAATGGCCAGTGCTTCCCCAAAACTATAAATGAATATTTATACTTTTAAGGATAGCTTGAAACTAAGTTCATTTGTTGTTCTCTGTCTTTTTTGTTTACCTGTTCTTTTACTAGCATTGCATAATCAAAAAAAGAGAAAAAAGATAAACCTCAATGATGTACATTTTCTCTTCCCTTTTTTTCAATGTCTTTCACTTTTTTCAGGTTGCTGTATTTAAGAAATCTCCTTTCTTGCATGCAAATGGTGCAACGGGAGTAAACGGTCAAATAATGAAGATTGAGGTTTTAGATGAGGAAGAAAAGCCGATCGATTTTCCGCTCTCTATAACGATCAGTAATGAAGGAATATCTCACTACAAGGAATATGAGCCATTAATTGTTGAAGGTGGATCATCGTACATGATGTATTTCCGCTGTCAAATGGCTGATCCTAATGATGCATTCATCACTTATATAAAACCTGGGGGTGTAAATTTTGACAATATAGAAGTTGATGAACTATTTACATTGTATGCTCGTTCCGAAGTCATCCCATCAGAAACTGAATTTGATTTTTCATCCGTGGTTAAAGCTATCGATTGGGCGTCTGATGGATTCAAAGTATTCATACCTAGTGGTAAGCTACAGAGTGGAGATGTATACATAGCCTTGAAACCAATTACAGGTTAATATGATACATATAAGCTAATCGGTCAAAGAAAAAAAAATATAAAACGGAACTATTTATTCTTATGTTGTGCTGTCACTCCGCCATCCCAGGTTAGGGAAGGTTTACCCCTCCACATTCTGTATGTGCCTGCCCCTAGTCAAGAGCCTTTAATTCAGTGATTGTTGTTTGTTGCTGTATGCTTTAATTGGTTTTCGTTTATTGTTTTGTACATAAATCAGGTCGTTAGTTTTCTCGTTTGAATTGTTTTGCATTTGTTATTTCGGGCCTTTTATACCTTGCTATGCGGTATAGGTTTTTGCTCTTTGTTGAGAGTCATACGGTGCCCTATATATAGTTGCCAACTTGTTCGTCATTTGGTCTTCGGTGGAGATTTGTCTCATTGACAATTAAACCGCATGTTCTTATTCCTTATATCTGTTCTGCCATCATTTTGACATCTTTCACGAACATTTCAAGATTTGCAGGTTCACTACAACTACATCCATGTGATTTAAAAAAAAAATCAGATCTATTTCTAGTTCATTTTTAGACAAACAAAGAAAACTGAAATTCACGTCCTGAAAGATGAAAAGGTTTACATAAATACACCAAAACGGATGTCATACATGTATGAAGTAACAGATGAGGCTTTTTTTTTAATTTATAATGTTTCATCTATGTTATTATTAGTATTTGGAAGAAAAAACATGTACTTTATATCTGAAGGGAAGACGCGTATGGAATTCGACACTGCACTAATGTTTTCTGCTAAAAGCCATTAATCAGTAATACTCCAAATATATTTTTTCGATAAAGTAAACAAGGTTGTCATTGGAAATCGATTAAATCTGTAAAAAAAGAATGAACAAACATACCGATCTTCAATGTAAATTCAAAAAAGGTGAACCATAAAACCGGACAAAACAAAATAATTGAATGGATCAACCAATGGAACGAATGGAAAACGAACGTCATATTTCTGACTTACAGGCATTTTCCGAAGAAAATGGTGGGTTAAACCTGGTTTTGTAGCTAGCTAAATCTTCCACTTGTATGACAGTTGTGTATAGTTCCGTTATATTGACAAAATTGTGCGAGCAACCAAAACAGACATAATTTGTTTACGTGACAATTAGGATCCGTCAGCCAAAATTGTGTGAACATACATTATATCTATTGAATATGCATTTTGGAGTACACTGACAATTTTTATTAATATTTCACATTTTTTTTGTTTTCTTCTTTTTTCAAATTAACTGTGATACACCAGTATCGTTTCCTTTTTACAATAAGGTTTATATTGACTAGATAGAATTTACTTTTTCTCTCCAGAGGATGAACAGTCTCAAAATGTGACACTATTGTCAAGAAAACGACGTAGTACAGACAATATCACTGATACTCCACCTGACCATACCACGGCCAACATCAGTGTTGTTATAGTAACAACCGGATGTAGAGTTTATGACGAGCAAACAGAATCCTGGGATCCAAGTGGATGCTCTGTATGCAGTATTTTTTACTACATGTAGTTACATAAAATTTACCGTATTATCATATTATACTGTTCTTCTTTCAAGATGCCTTTTTTACTATTCGTCCAGAAGTCTATTGTTCAAACCTACTTAACTTACAAACAAATCTTCTATATATTACTTATTTACAATAATTGAGGTAGAAACAACTTATAGAACCATATAACCTACCTTTTTTCGAAAATGGAAATAGCAGTTTAAAAATTTTGTGCGTCCGTGGCGATTTTCTGGATTTCCCTTCACCAGACGCTCAAACCTAAATACTTGAAAGCTAGGGATGTATTATGTTACGGCCAGAAATCACCTTAAAATTGTAGACAACATAAGACAAATCAACAAGATTTATTATACAATTTTACAAGAAATATTGTACAAATGGAAATGTCAACTTAACTGTTAAAATATCTGATTGTCCGATCCTGATCTTTTCTTTATCCAGAATTCTTCTCTTAACTGTTGCGGAATCCAAAAGGAATATCATGTCCAATAAGTTCATGCACTAGTGTGATGTTGTAGAATTTACCAATACACAACCCCAGAGATCATTTGAGAATACTTGTACATTTCTGTCTCAGTCTAATTTTGGTGTCTGTATATAGTTACCACGGAAACTTCTAGTACATTGTAGAAGGGAAACTTCCAAAAAACTGTAGAAGAGAAACTTCTAAAACATTGTAGAAGTTTATTTGTTATCGTATATTATGATCATTCTGGAATTATTATGCAAGTCAAATAAATAGAAAGTTCTAATCATTACATCAGTATCTACGATTGTTCCAGAGATTTCTAAACTGCACAATTATAAACATTATTTTGTAAACAGCCATAACCAATAATGTAAATATCTTATCAGGCCACACAAAACAAATAAAGTCAAGGTAAATAATTATAATATTTACAATCTCATAACAATTAATACATAGAAACGTTATGAGCTAAATGATCAAAAGGGACCTAAAAAGTAAAGAAAAATTCATCTATTGTCACATTTCCTGAAAGCGTTAGAACCTTGGTTTCTTTATAATTACCTCAAGTTTCAAAGTTTCTTTCATACATTGCTTTTATTATCTTTATTTTAAATCATATTTTTCAAAGAAAATATATCTAAACGTCTTGTTTCAGGTGTTGCCCTTTTCATCTTTAAATGAAACGGTGTGCCGGTGTTCACCTGGGGCTGGAACGCTGTTTGCCTCAACCTTTGCAATTCCAAATATGATAGATTTTCATACAGTGTGGTCTAAATTTGATATAATGAATGCTGCAGTATATGGTACTCTGATCGCCGTCATTGTGTTGTATTTTATTATGTTCTGTATCCTTAGGAGACTTGATAATCGTGATACCGGTCAGGTAAGTGACAGGGAAGAAAAGGGACTTTAAATATTTGTTGACAAGTCTATCTTAAAATATTTTTTTTTGTTTCTTGTTTTTGGGAATTAAATAGGCTTTGAAATGCATACATATATACGAGAGCTTAAGATTGTTCGGTTTTTTTTTTTTTGTTTTTTTTTTCTTAGCCTTAAACCCGAATAGATTTTGAAGAGTCAAAAACAAAAGTAGTAGCCTATTAAAGTGAATAAGTGTGTTTTGATGCTCTTTTCTCAACACTTTGGAATAACGCATTAACAGCTTATTCCCTATATTTCGTCGAATTATTTTTAAAAAGGATTTTTTTGTTACGATGTGTTTCGAAAGCAAATTATGGAAGTATTTATATTTCTTAAAAATAACTTCAAAAAAAGAAAAATTGAAACAAGCAATTAAGACAGATCTTCACAACATTCTTTTTCTTTATAGAAAAATTGTGAGTATATGTTATTCATTGTATTTCCTTCTTAATTACTGTCGCGTTTGAAATAAATGCAGCAATATTTTCTGTCTTCTGGATACTTCAAACTTCATTATTTTTTCATATGCCGACCTATTGATTCTGACTTGATATACGACCTATTTTTCTTACTTTTAGTGTTTACCTACATTTTTATTGGACAACGACTTCTTTGATACCCACTTCTATATGATATCTGTACAAACAGGGCTGCGAGCAGGGTCAGCTACCTCATCAAATGTCAGTTTTATACTAGGTGGTACAGATGCGGATACTGGGGTTAGGTCTCTTAGTGACGGTATTACTAAGGTAATATTATTATAATTATAAACCATTTAAGAATTGGATTAAAAAACGGAGTCACTTTTACTGCTTGCTGCGCTACGATTGTGTTTTTAAATTCAAATTAATTCAAAATTCATAATCTCAATTTTTTGGGGCATATATAAGTATTCAAATATATAATAAAACAGTTCATCTTTCATGTTTGTTTATTAAAATAACTAACTTTCAGAATACAAATTGTGATGGTGTTTGAATCACAAAAAAAAAAAGGAACTATCAGTTTTCCTTTAATACTAAAAACATTTACTAACTATAAGTCTTATCTGTCTGTTAAGATTTACAGGTCTATAATTACGTAAAAATGAAACGATCTCGCTGTTAATTACATAAAAAACAAAATTAATAGTGTTCAGTTAAAACGCAGATTTAGAATCTTCAGAACAATCACTTTTTAGTGCATGCTAATTTTATATTTTGTACAGATACTCATAACAAACAGCACAAACAATTTCATTCTTGCGACACCCGACCCTCTGGGAGATCTTGTATATCTACGTATATGGCATGATAATAGTGGTGAGGGGAAACTTCAGTCCTGGTACTTACACAGAGTAGTCATTACAGACCTACATACTAATGACAAGTAAGAACTGTTATTCCATGCAGTTTCTCATTATGTTTTTATTTTTACAACTGTAAGAACTAATACGATTTCTTTGTTGTCTTATTTTCAAAAATTGGATTTTGAAATCCAGTTAAGATAATAATTAAAATCAATATCAATAAACAGTACAAATCTTACTGCACCATACGCACATTGCGACAAATAATGTCTCTTAAGTTATGCATAAATAATTTAATATAAAAAACCTAATACTAGTACCTATTTTAAAAAGCTGATACTACCGAATAGGGTCAAACATATTGCCACAACCGGACAAGAAATCAAAGATATTCATGAGGGACATATATTTCTTATTTCAAATGATTAATTAACTTTAAAAACTGCAAATTTCAATAAAACTATATCCGTATTTTCATGCCAGTACCAAAGTTTTGACCTACTGGGCTGGTGATAACCTCGATGACAAACAGTTCATATCATATGCGCATTTCGACAAATAACGTCTCTCTAGTGATGTTCGAAGCCGAACTTATCTTAGAATCCAAAACCTTATACAATCTTTGAAAACTGATATTACAGAAAAAGGCCAAAGGTATTGCTAAACCCGAACAAGGAATCAGAGCTTTGCATGAGGCGAATACTTTCTTAATGTCAAAAGACTTATCTAGTTTTTTACAGCAATTATAAATTAAACAATATCCGTATTTGCATGCCGATTTTTTGCTAAAAATCATATAATCCTCCATTGTTGTTCTATATTTTAAAGGATGTCTCTGTATAAACGTTTACTCATTGCATTTGAATGCATCTTTTACTTTATTGTGATTTGATTTACAGAAAAAAAATACATTTGTTTCTCCAGAAAATATTTTTGAAATCAGTTAATAGATATCCGAAAGTAACTTACATTAAACTAGATTTGAATCAATTTACTCTTTTGGATTTCAGATATATATTTCAGTGTGATCGATGGTTTGCAACTGATATTGATGATGGAATGGTTGAACGGATCATTCCTGTTTTAAATGATATTAATTCGGGATTTGAATCGGCTTTTTCTCATACAACAAGAATTAATGTAACGGAAAACCATCTTTGGTTATCTTTGGTACTGAGACCTCCTTACAGTGCGTTTAGTCGTGCTCAGCGTCTGTCTTGTCTGTTGGCATTGTTGTTACTTGCTATGATATCAAATGCTATGTTCTTTCAAACGGAAGCAGAGACAGTGGTGATGGCCGATACTGTAAGGCTTGGAAGTTTGTCATTTTCTTTTAAAACTTTATATATATCTATAATAGGTGCTGTGATAACTGTACCTCCTATATTCTTGTTCACATATTTATTCCGAAATACGCGACGACATCAACGACAATTAAAGAAAGAACCAACTATTATAACAAGCAATCCAAAGCTGGCGGCCATCAATCAGGAGAAAAATCAGTCTCATATATCGTATGTCGATAAACTGAAAACGATACAAAAGTTACGTCGACGTACCAATGAGGGAGGAAAGGGTGGTATTGTCTGTCATCAACAGGCTAAATTTCCACCATGGATGAGAAATATTGCATGGTTATTACTATTTATTGTTTGTGCGGCATCATCATTCTTTTTGATTCTGTACAGCATGGAATGGGGTAAATCGAAGTCCGAGGAATGGTTGACAACTTTCATTTTATCGTTTGTAGAATCGATCTTAATCGTCGATCCAGTTAAGGTTTGTTTCTAAAACTGTGTATTTTTCCTTGTCACAGATATCTCAGACTTTAGACATCCTATGATCATAAAGGGAATAGTCGTACATTAAATCTTAAAATATAATAATTAACTTATAAATGTTTAGAAACAAGCAGAAGTGCGAACCTTGTCGTGTTGTGAAATTGGAATGTACAGTCTAAGACAACGTTAGAGTTTTTTCTTTTTATACTGAAATGCTTTATACTATAAAGAAGATAACACCAAATGTAAAGATTGTTATTTGTTTTTAAAAATGTGCAAACAATGCAAATTGAACTCCATAGTAAACCTATAAATATGTTTTTTTACAAAATTATGTTGTTGTATGGGCATTGACTGTATTTTATAAATGTTAAAAATGATTCCTGTTTAAATTATAACGAATTTGATTCTTATTCTGCTTTTAAAATGTTTTTCTTGTTATGATTTACCATATCATTTGCAGAAATGTCATGGCCACAATGTGTTTTGTCATTTATTGTATTTAAGGTGTTTTTGTTGGCTTTTCTATTGGCACTTATACTGAGGAATCAGAAAGATGACCAGGAACTCCATGTAGACATTGAATCGGTTAGACAGTACTCACACGACAATGCTGGCCTAAGAACAGAAACACTGAAAGGTCGGTCGTTTTAGTTTTTCTTGAATCTAAATGCATTTAAATAAAGGCAACAGTAGTATACCGCTGTTCGAAAGTCATAAATCGATTGAGAGAAAACAAATCCGGGTTACAAACTAAAACCGAGGGAAACACATCAACTATAAGAGAAAAACAACGAAACAACAGAAACACTGAAGTGAACAAAAAAACAAACGACAATGCAACACACACAGAAACGAACTATAAGATAACAACTGCCATTTTTTTTACTTGGTACAGGACATTTTAAGAAAAAAATGGTGGGTTGAACCTGGTTTTGTGGCTAGCCAAACCAAACCAAAATTTAGCATTTAACTGGTTACCACAACAACAACAAAAACTCTGTATAGTAAATCACTAGGTAATGACCTTGCAATTGCTATGTCAAATATATTATGATGATATAAGCAACGTTTTGACATTGTCCTCTGAAATCGAGAATCTGTCTAATTATACCATCAGTGACCGCTGTGGACAGTAAACTAGCAACTGATATTAAATCGTAAACAAATGTTGTTTCTAGTAAACTTATGTAAGTATAATACAGAAAAACACGAAAACAATTAAAATTGAAAGAAAAAAATAAATAACGGATTTTGTAAAAAAAAAAGGGGGGGCTGAAATAATGGTCCTGTCCTCAAGAATCTATGGGTAAAATTAGTCATTTTAATGTTTCTCTCCATCTATAATAGTTTTTAAGATAGTAGTCAATAATGATGAGAATTGATAAAAAAAAATGTCATTTAAAAGCAATTACTTCGATACGCATTTTATTCTGGACCCCTTAAAATCAACACAATTTTAGTAAAAAATGGTTTCACATTTTTATTAAGAATGAAGGGAGCCTTGTAAAATGATCATATTATTTCTTGATGCTGTTCAACCAGTATGGTTAAATTTCGCATCATCATTAGTCCAAGCTAGTGAAGGACTTCCGGTCTCATCAATAACTTAACTATTAAGTTGTCATGTTGTAAAAATGCGTGAAATTGTGAATTTTAGCATTTTCCTTTTTTTATGTCGTGTTTGGTATCAAAAGTCATTATTTCTTATGAGTAATTAAGTTTCAATATTTTCATTACGGAAGAAGTGCATTTTGTTAGGGAAACAAGATTTTGAACTATTTTTCAAATAATTTCATAAAAGACATTTATAAGCCGTTTTAGCGTTACTTGGAAATATTAGAACTATGTGACACACCGGTCCGCCCCGCTCTCGATCTACGAGCAGCGGCGGGTTAATGTATGTTGCCATGATTACTGTTTTGTAAATATGCTTTATGAACTGTGATTGTATATATGTTGGATGGAAAAATAAAGTATGTGAACGTTCATGTATCCAGTCTCGTGTATTGAATTACAACAACTTTCCAGTATGGACCCTCTGCCATCTGAAATTGGACTAAGTTTGTTGGATTGTAAAACACTGCTGCCTATTTATCTATGATGGAATGGATTTACCAAAAATGAAACACACAAACGAAACAAACACCATTTTATAATCAACTATTTTAATTACGCCAAACAATAGGTTTTTTTTTAATCACGTCAAAGTTATCAATTTCAGTTCGACTAGGTATAAGTTTTCATCATCACCTGGAATGATTGTTTTATTTTTTAAAAACTGCATTGGGTCTTCTCTATTTACCTTGAGATTTTTCCATTTAAAACCATCATAGTCAATTCAATATAATTATTTGTTGCTGAAATTGCGTTTTCATAGTGTAAATTTTTTCCTGAAAATGAATTTTAAAGTAAATTTGTCCTCAATTCAATTGAAATGAAAAGAAAATTAACAATACATTACTTTGATTTCGATTATTAAATACAAAGTATCTAGGTAGCTCCTAAATTAAATAGATGCCCTCAAATGACGCTTTTTTAAATATAAAGGGAAATGTTTATTTTTTCTTTAAAACAGTATGATCCACAAAATGCCACTTTCTGTTCTATCAGCCGAGTTAGGTTGGGTATGTGAATTGCCTTCCAACTATTTTTTCAGTTGAGTTTCGAAAGCGATTTTTATGAGTAAAAAGACGACGCAAACGTTTAAAAGTAAGATGCCATAGATTTTTCCCATTGACTATCAGGTAGAGTTTTTGATATGTTAGCTTGCTCCTCCAGGAATCACACAGCTATTTGGTTTTAGTTTGTAACAAAACAATTAATGGTTACTCATTTAAGTAATTTCTTGTGTTCACAAAGATAATGTTTCTACTAACTGTCATTTAAAATGATATTTATTTTATTTTAGATTTCAAAATGGAAATTTTATCGAACACTGATTCTGAGCAAAAAATGGAAGAAAGAAAGCAGCAACTAAAAAAGGAAAAAACAGCCAAAGACGCTTTCATGAAATTTGTCATTCATATATTATTTGCCGCTATATTGTTCAGTATAAGTTATGTAAACAGAGACCAACGATCATTTAATGTAAAGACACACATCTCAAATCAACTGTATACATCCACGAATACAAAATGTGGTTTCTCAAAGGCAAGTTGATTTGACACCCTCATATCACCACAGTACGAAGTTTTGTATACATTTATCAAATTTATAGCGCAGTTTATCGGTTAGTTATAAGTTAGAAAGAGATTCAGAAACATACTGGAAACAAAACTGAAGTATAACATGAATCAAAAACTATAAATGAAAAAAAAACAGACATGCAACACCATGGCCAAAAGAAAAAGACATATACTAGTCTACAATACTAAGCAGAAACCTAAAAGTTGAGCACCTTAAACCACATTTAAATATAACATGAACTCACGTGCTCCGGAAAGTTAAGCAAAACCGATCTGCCAGTGTCACCAGTCTCGTTTCTCCAGACAAGTTAAATCCGATAATTAGTCGCACTTGACGATAAAGTTCAGGTTTACTGGGATTAGGGTGCATGTCTATTGGAATTATACTGCATGTATATTATCATAAGAGTGCATGCCTATAAGAATAAGAGTGCATGTCTGCATGAATTTATGTCTGTTACAAGTTTTTGTCTACTAGGAAAAGAGTGCATGTCTATTAGTAAGAGTCCATGTATATTAGTAAGCGTGCATGTCTTTTAGCATTGGAGTGCATGTCGATTAGGATTAGAATTCATGTCTATTACGAGGTTTTGTATTATTAGCATTTACGTTTATTTCTATTACGATTAGAGTGTATGTCTATCAGGGTTAGAGTTTATGTCTACTAGGATTATAATTTATGTCTACTAGGATTATAATGCATGCCTTTAAGAATTAGGGTGCATTACAATTAAAAAGTGTAATGCATATCTGTTATTTATGATTATAATACATATCTATTAAGATAAGACTTTATATAAAATAAGGAGATGTGGTATAATTGCCAATGAGACAAACGTCCAGCAAAGTTAAAATGAAGTGGATGTAAGCAATTATAGGCAACCGTACGGCCTTTAACAATGACAAAAAAAACATACCGTATAGTCGGCTTTAAAAGGTCCCGACATGACAAATATGATTCAATCTAATTGAGAAAACTAGCGGCCTAATTTATAACAAAACAATTTCCGAAAAAAAACAAATATGACAGACATGAACCAACGGCAATCACTGAACTACAGGCTCCTGATTTGGGTCAGGCACATATAGAACGTAGCGGTGTAACAAATTTTTGAAGGCGCCAATCCTCCCCTAACCTGCACAGTGGTGTAACAGTACAACATAAGAACAAACTATTAAAATCAGTTGAAAAGGGCTAACTCATTAGATCGATACATAGCAGAAACATCTACCAAAAACACAGACCAGAGGTGGCAGGGTATTTATACATCCCTAAAAATAAAAAAAGACACAAAGTACAAGAGCAGCTGCCTATTAAATGTCCAATTCTTTCTTCGTAGGTAACTTCAGCCAAACAGTTTTTGTCATGGACTAGAGAAGTTTTTGTCCCAGTGCTCTTTCCAACAGCAAATTATAATGGACAGTCCATCAGTGTTCGAGATAAATTTCTAATGGATGACTTCACAAGTGCTAAAATTGGTCTTGTTAGAATGCGCCAAGTGAGAGTGAAAAGGGGTATGTAAAATTTATTTCATATCAAAGGCCTACTTAAGCGTATCTTCTTTCAATAGATAAGTTTTGTCTGAAGTATAATTAATTAATTTGAAAAATGTCATTTTAAGCTATGAATCATTTATATGCTACGCTACGAGCAGAACGGAGTTTTTCCCCTAGAAATTACCTGCAAAACGTTTCATTCGGTTGACATAATATTATTTTTAATCAATAGTCGCTAGCCATGAATTTTATAAATTATTGCAAAGTGAGAACACAAATTTCCAATTCAACATTGTTTCAAATCAAATGTGAACCAAAGAATAACCATAATGTTATTGTTTATATTGTGTTTGGTTCACTTTGTCTTGAGATATTCTCCACAATCTTATTCATATACATTCGCGCACATAAAAAAAACATCTTCAGGTATGACTTTTTGGTGAAAAAAAACGGAAGAAAAGAGAACACAGTTATTATTAAATAAATAATAAAATTAATGTCATCAAGATATTTTTCCAAAAGTTTTAGTCGAATATTTTTTTTTTCTATTACATTGCTCTTTTTTACGAATGATTTGTGCATGCTTACTCTATAGTGACATTGGTTCAAAATGCTGCAATAGTAGATAGTAACAAAAAAATCAAATGCGTTCAGTTAACTCAGAAAAAGTTTCTATCGTTTATTGTCTTATAGTATTGTTCTAAATTCACAAAACGAAAGAAACTAAACTTTAGCCTTCGTTATTTTACCAAGATCAAATAAAAATGCGTGTTTATTTGAATGGTTCGTGTAGAATGAACATACAAAACTGTGGATAATATAGCAAGAGAAAACGTATTAGATGTAGGTTCTCATATCTGAGGAGCGTCGGTTCCGAATATATGAGACGATTACATATGATTTACATAGAAGTAATAAATAGATATTTTATCTTTTCTCTTGTTCTAAAAAGAGCAATTAGGTTTGATAAAACAGAAAAAGTGCCATTATCTCAAATTGTCCAGATGCAGTAACACTTTCAGAAGATGTTTTGTAGTTATGGATTTTGAATAAAATCTTAATTTGTAGTTATGGATTTGGAATAAAATCTTAATTGCGTCTATTTTTCTGTCATCAAATTGATACATTATCACTGCTTTTGTACAGCAATATGTCTCGCTGTTCTGTCTTGCCTTTTTCTGGTAAAATCTGAACTTTTTGCTGATAAATAATAACACTTATATGTAAATATATATATAATATATACATACGAGTCAATACTAAGGAATCATTCTATTCTGACATGTTAGGTCTTCTGTGACATCTAACGGTTAAATAGAACTGCATAGAACATATCAAACAAACATCTGGTTTAAATCAAATAGTTTGTAATAAATAACAATGATTTCATTTTTCCTTTTCCTAATTTTCAGAAAAGTGCGACGTTCCTGTTAACATAGTAGCCGGACATTTCTGTGGTGGTAAATTTGATACCAGCAACGAAGACAAATCTGAATACTGTGTTGGTTGTCCAAAATCACTGACAACAGGTGCCTGGACATACACAGAAGCTAAGGATATCTGGGGCATTTCAATTGTTGGACATTATAATACCTACAGTGGGGGTGGTTACATTCAGAATCTTCACAACGAGAAAGCTACTACTTTGGCCATTGTTGATGAGTTAGTTGAACATTTTTGGATCGATAGACTGACCAGAGCAGTTTTTGTAGAGTTCACACTTTACAATGCTAACGTAAACCTTTTGTGCTATTCAATATTTTTGGCAGAGTTTTTAGAGACAGGACATGGGACAAACTGGGTCGATACACAATGTTTCAGACCATCTTTTCTGACTGACGCAACTGGTCTTTTTTCTGTTTTATTTTATTGTTTGTTTATTGTTATATTACTTTATCGAACAAAACTTCTTATAACTAATATGAAAAACCAAAAATGTTCATTTTGGAAAGGGTTCTGGAATGTAATAGATGCCTTCATTTGTTTTCTCGGATACTCTGGAATAGCTGCATGGGTTGGAAAGTTCATTTACACAAAGAAGGCGTTGAATCTATATTTCAACAATAAAGATGTATTTATCAATTTTCAACATATTGTTATCTGGGAATATGTCTTCAGCATAATACTGGGATGTCTAGTTTTTATTTCAACATTACGAGTAATGAGTGCGCTAGAATACAACAAACGAATGACGGCGCTTGCAGATACTTTACGTCATGGCGGAGGTGCAATTTTTCGGTTTTCTGTCATAGTTTTTATTGGTCTTGGAGCATTTGCTGTTTTGGGGTATTTGTTATTTGGTCCTGCTGTTTATGAATACAGAAATATTTTTGTGACTTTTGGAAGTTTAACAAATACTCTTATTGGACGGAATAGTCTCCACTCAATGATAAGGGCGGCTCCAACTTTTGCGGAAGTCTACTTCTTTGTGTATGCCTTCTTTGTTATCTTCACTCTGTTGACGATATTTGCTGCAGTTCTCAACGACAGTATATCGCATGTCCGACAGGAACAACTACAGCAACCAGAACCTATTGGAATACTGAATGTGATGAAGAACAGTATCCGAGATATGTTTGGTCTAGTTGGAATCCACATTAAACGTACAGACAACAAGGATAAAAGGAAAGAAGGTACGAATATGTCATTAAAAATTCATAAAGAAGTAGGAATGGATACTAGTTTAATTATTTTGAGACTAATAAAGTCAGAGGTTGCTGGCTAATAACGCATTTTGTTTTCAAATTTAACTTTGTTTTATAATACCTGACTAATAATGCATTTTGTTTTCATATATATCATTGTTTATTATATTTTACTTCTTATTAAAGAAAGGCGGAGGATACTGAATGGATAGTAAAACTTATAAATCAAAATCGAAATGACTATGCTACGAAACAAAATCACGACTAAACGACAAACAATAGTCTACAAAACACGACATAGAAAACTAATGACTGAGCAACACTAACCCCATCAAAAAACGGGAATAATCTCAGGTGCTCCGGACGAGTAAGAAGATCCTGCCCCACATGTTACACTCTTCGTGTTGCTCATGTAAGTACAAACTATGTGATAAGTCGGTCACATACGGGGGAAAGCGGACGGGATTGTGGTTAAAACAATAGGAACATATCCGTCGTCATTTGTGAAACAGATATAACTATGGAAAATAAAAAGTATTACATTTTAATTAATAATCTGATCAGCCAAAACTATCGCACCTTCCTTCAGATATTTTTTGTACATCTAAAGTCTTAAATGAGTGAAAATGGTTAAAAGAAACAAGAAAATTTTATCTGGTTTGTTCTTTTTTTTTTATCTAGTTTAATAGTTTTGTTTTCAGAATCCATTCATGAAAACGCTGTTGATACTCCAAATGTATTGAAACTGATGAGAGATGTGATAACATTAAATCTTCAAGAAGAGGTACTTTAATAATAAATGAAGAAAAAATAAAGTTATAGTCAAACAAATTCATGAAATTTAAGAAAGGATTTTTTGCCAGGGCTAATTATTGAACTACATCAATCACTGAGGGGGTGGACAGGAGGGTACCATTTTCCCAACTCCCGCCCCACCCCCCCCCCCCACCCCCCCCCCCCCCCCCCCCCACCCCTTCTCCCACCTCCCGCCCCCTATCTCCCACCTCCCATTTTTAGAATCTTTTTTTCTCTCCCACCTATTTTTTGTCTCCCACCTCCCGCCGCCCCCACCTGCCACCTCCCTCAAAAGCTGTCCACCCCCTCATCACTTTCCAATCCTGTTTCACCTTTTGGTGAATTACATAAAAGTATAATATTGTTTGTGAAACTATATTGCCGATAATTATAAGTTAAATTAATAACAAATCACTTCAAATTACTTTACAAAACATTATAAGCATGGATAGCTAATATAATCCACAACTACAAATAAAATTACAACGTCAAACAGATCATAACATAGTTAACTTAAAATAGATACATGATTGAAATGATTGCAGGAAGTACCGACAAATATCCTCAAATTTGATAAAGCTAACTAGGATAATATAAAGATTTATAAATATATAAAAACGCTTTAAACACTGGAAAAAGATTAGGAAACAATTAAAGTTGATGCATTGTGGAACACCTTTAAAGCAGACCTGGTTAGATCTATCAAAAACAAATTAGTCACAGAAAGAAATATCCGGAAAAATCCAAATAAATTTAAAAGCAAGTACAGAAAGAGTTAGGAACAGGTACTGGAACTATATAGAAAAAATAATCTGTGATCACATGTAAACGATGGTTATCAACAACACATGACATCAACTCAAAACTAAAAAACTTATTCATTAATATTCAAAACAGAAGAATAAACGTCATATTAAAGGCATACGATACAGTTACAGGGGAAGTAATGACGTTGCTAACGTAAATTGTTATTTTTGCGACGTCAAACTGTGACTTATCGGGAAAAGATGCAGTTTTCGACTGATTTTTATCATTCAAACTGATTTAACTTAAAAACGAGTTCATGGACCCTTCTTTTTTAAAATGACATTTGGTTTGATTATGTATGAAGATTATGTGTACCAATTTTCATGAAAAAGTCAATAGTGCAATTATTTTAAATTTGATAAATATACAGCAAAAAATGACGTTTTTTTTTTCTACATTAATGAACATTTGATAAATATGAGTTATTTGTAAAAATAAAATGTACAAATTTATAGAACATTTATATAAAACAAATTACAAATAATTTAACAAAAAACAGCTTGTGTTTATCTTTTAAAACAAAAAAGTTATGTATTTCTGTCGAAAGGAAAAATACGTCCACAAATCAGAATTTTCAGGAAATATCTAAAATTTCAACCTCAATTTACTCAAAAAGTAGCACATGATGGTATATTTTTTATTGCATATTTGATTTAAGCAAGTAAAAAATAGCATAAATGCAAATTTTCATCAAAATTTCATTACGGGATCAAAACTGTATCGTATGCCCTTAAGGCAATTTTTGTACACATAAGGATATTCTCCAGCAATTTTTTTTTAAAGTGTAATTATATTTTACTGACTTCTTATTCAATGTCGATTACGATATTCAATTTGATTCTTGCTACAATAACAACATACAATATGCGTACAGTGTGTTCTTGGTGCCGCTGTTTATTGTTTGATATGTTTAAAACGACGTCGTTCGGTATCTATATATCCCGCTTTCGGGCATTTTGTTGTTACTTTCTTATATGTGTGGGTCCGGTGGGTCATTTTGTGCTGAGTTGTTGTCTGTTTATTTCGTTTGTGGTTTGAATTCTGTATTTTTGGTACATTTCACATATGTCTTATTTGTCAGTATAGTCGAGTTAATCGTGGTTCGTCTTCCGGGTTTTTATTTTATGTTGTTTGTTTTCAAGTGTGTTTACTGTTTGGTCTTATATGATCTTTCCTTATATTACAGTTATTTTATTTTTATTTTCTAGACATGGTTAGAAAATACAAATAATAACACCATTACACACACAATTCCATTTTTTTCAATATTCTTGTCATGGTTAGAAAATACATAAAATAACACCATTACAAACTCAATCCCAATTTAATATTCTTTTACGTGTCTATAAATAAAACAAATCTATTTTAGTTTTAGAAATTTACCTGTGATAATTTAACCGCACAAAAAATACGTCACTTTTTGTGACGTTGATCCATTCATGTGAGAAACAGTTTATATTACGTTTGTGGTGTCCTGGTGTGCTGTCGTAAATTCATGGGAGCTAGGTGTCTGTTGTTATTTTGCGGTTTACATGTTGTAATGTACTATTATATTATTTATTTATGTATTTCTCTGTGCTGCGTGTTCTTGCGTTTGTTTGTACTGTAGCGGTGTTTTTAACATTGCCATATAAGCGGGAGGTTTTGCTAGCCATAAAACCAGGTCCAACCCACCATGTTTTCTTAAAATGTCCTGTACCAAGTCAGGAATATGACAGTTGTTATATAGTCCGCTTCTATATATATGATGGCGTTTGCTTTTGTTGTAGTTCAGTGTTTCTGTTGTTTCATTGTTTTCCTCTTATAGTTGATGTGTTTCCCTTGGTTTAAGTTTGCTACCCGGATTTGTTTTTGCTTAATCGAATTATGACTATTGAACAGCGGTATACTACTGTTGCCTTTATTTATAATGAGACTCGATTGGATTAAGAGCTTAACATATTTTATAGGCACGTGTCTTTTTTTTTTATTTATTATCAAGTATGGAATTTGTCTATTGCTGAGATATATATATATCTCGTTTTATTCATATTAAGTGCATAAAGGATATTAATCACATAAATTTGGGAATGGATAGAAATTAAAACTGATTCAAAAAGTAATCACATATACTTTTACCTATTCTTACCTTAATTTTTAGAAGTTGGTCCCTAGTAGAGTCAAAGACATAAAACTTAAAAGTCTGTATTTGTTGATTCTTCATGAAGCAAGAGATGTTTAAAGTAAAAACTGGTTAATGTAGAGCGATTGGCTCGGTTTGGAGACATGATAATATTGACGACAAACCTTCCTTGGAAAGGTTATTTACTGTACTTGCACATAAAAACCGACTTGCTGTGTCGTTACCTTGCACAAAGCAGATATATATTTTGTGGCACAAATATGTAATTATAGTCTGAAATGCATGTAATCTTAGGTGTAGTGCAGTCATTAGTGTATCAATGCATCGTGTACACTGAAATCGGTTAAATACGTTTTGCTTTTCAAGAATATAAAATCCTTTAAAATTTTAGAATCACCATTATCTTTTTTTTTCAGAGCAAAAACAACATGTCTTCAAAAATCGAGTGTTTTAAGAGTTCAATGGCTTTATCTAGACAGAATATATTTTTGCCATATAATCCTAGCCGAAGGACATCACGAGATAAAGGCAGTAATGGGGCGACTTATGTTTCTGGCTATGATGAAACTGATTTTGAAAAGGAATGCATACCAAATACTCCTAGTCATGATTACATGGGTTTCGGCAGCAGGGATTCACTAACACCAGATGAATCTTTACGGGAGAATACAGCAACACCGCGTGATATAGGAATTAACTTTTAGTACATTCTACTTCAAAGTTTATATGTTTCTTATTATTGTTTAGATCACAGAACAGTATATTACAGTTAATCTATATATCTTGATTACTACTAGTTCCAAAATTGATTAAATACTAGTATGTCAAAAAAAATTGCTATCAAAAGAGAAAATGCAATTACAAGTTTATTCATAAAATGACGAACCACGTGTTCAGTGATGATAATTTGTCTGAAAACTGCAAAATCCTCCAAAAAGGCATGCGATACATTTTTATTGGAATATACTTTTTTTAACGTACATAATTCCGGACTTAATTAACACCCTAGAATAAATCTACGGTAAGAACTTTACACATCACAAATAGTTTTTGCAAAATTTCTAGCTGTATTTTCAGCAATAGTCGACATTTGTTCTCTCACTATTTCAATTAATATATATATTTTTTAGGAGTTGCCAGTAGTTCTTAATTGTTACATTTTTACCTTGTAAATGGTTCGTCCGTTCAAAATTGTTTTTACAAAAGTCCCTGGCGAGACATGTATTACTTCAAAGTTTTACATAATATTAAGCATTTTTGTTTGCCGTTTTCTTGTGCTTGTATGCTTTATGAATGTTGTTCAGTATATAGCAACTTTACTAAATAAATCTTTAGAATTGAAGTGTTTTTTCACGGTCTAGTTTGTGACAAATATCGCAGAATATAAACATATAGGAATGGATCCAAATTGCCAAGGAATGCTAATCCGGTTGCGACGTATACAATGTTTATACAGCAAAGAAGAGCTGGATAATCCATATATTACCTGATGGTCTGCAGTTTCCGTTCGTTGTCCTTGACATCTTTTTCATATTTCAATAATTCTGATATGAGTTGCATATCTACAACTACTGTAAGTGATTGATCCGCAAGATTTTTTTTCTTCAGTTTACTTCGATACGCCATGTTGCCAATTTTGTAACGTATGTAAACATTTTATGGTGGGGTTCGTGTTGCTCAGTCTTTAGTTTTCTATGTTGTCTTTTGTGTACTGTGGTTTGTCTGTTTGTCTTTTTCTTTTTTGGCCATGGCTATGTCAGTTTGTTTTCGACTAATGACTTTGAATGTCCCTCTTGTATCCTTCGCCTCACTTTTATCGATTTTACTGTGATATATCCATTACACGATATACATGAATGAAACACTGAAGCTCCAAGAAAGTTCGCATTATCAAAAACATTTCAAATGTTTGAGTTGAGATTATAAGGATTAAAAACCTTTTTTCTAGAGGTTATTGGTGTGTAAACTGAGCAAACTCGTAATGGGTCTATTAACTCCATCATTGAATGAAAGACTTTTATTAAGGTTGTGAGTTTATTGCCCAATTTGCACACCAATAACCCCTTGAAAAATGTGTTTGATTCTATAGTGACTATAGTTTTTTTTCAGTTATTATTAATAATAGGACATTTATTTGGTATTCATAATTATTACAAAGTATGTATTTTCGTTAGACAGGGTTCACTTGAATTGATCTAATTTAATGTTTCAAAAATCATTTTATTTTTACTTGTTAGGCCCGTTTCTCAGATATCATGAATAATAAGCCAACTATATTTAGTGTATAGTGTACATGTCTGGCTGCTGTGACAGTGTTCAGCTGACCCAGACTTCATTTTCATACTTTATCAGTTAAGTTTTCATTATAGTAGGTCTGTTCCTGTGGATACTATAAGTAATAGATCAACTATACTAAGTATTTGAAATACAGAAAGATTGTATTAGTCCGTTTGAGTTCTTCTGTTCCTTCCTCTTCTTCTTATGTGTCATCTACTTTTTCTTGCATGCAACCTACACATCGATATTTAACGATAACAATTTGTTTTTACTATCCTTGAAACTTTCGTTGATTTTACAAAAGTTTGACAGTGTACAATCGTGTCATTTATAACAGTATTTGGTCATTCTTTGGACACCCCAGCGATAATATGTTGTAAAATAGACTAAGCGTTAAGCCACAGAAAGACAGAAAAGGCATTTTTTAAACCAAAAAATGGCCTATAAATATCTTACTATATTTCGTGTATTATAATTTATCAATTACACTGTTACATTCATTATTGCAGTTTTGAAGGTGTCTGTTTATGAAACTAATCGTTAATGTATTCCAAAAAAATATCTTAACAGCTTATTTTGCACCCCTATTAGTCGACTTGTTTTTTTATTCATATGAAGCAGAATTCACACAAACCCTTCAAAGAGACAAAAAGAAAAAGTATCTTATAAAGTTCTATAATTTCACATACAGTTATATTGATATCTTGATGATGGTATGTTTCTCAATAACCCATATTTCAGCAAGTGATTGCATCTCATATATTCAAGTCAATATCGAAACTATAAGTTATTCTTCTTATTTATATATCTTTCTTGAAATTGACACAGATGGACTACTTAGGATTAATGACAGACGTGACGATTTCAGTTTTCTTATTGTCAATGTCCCGTTTCTCAGTAGTAACATATCCTTTGTTTATGGCGTTTTTATATCTCAGTAGACGGGTTACGCTCGTGGATGTTCACATCATACGAACATCATTAACAGAAGTATTCTCCTCAACACAAAAACTCTTCCAGCAGGGTTATTATGAGGAAAAACTGAAATAGACACTACACTCATAACGAATTGGTTGACCGATACGACGTATCTGTCTCAACTCACGGGAACATTTCATCCTGGTCTTAGATCTTAAAATACCAGATTAGTAGTGATTAACCGATTGTTTCCTATTCCGTATTTAAGCTGACCTTTGATTCGCATTCCAGGCAGTGTATGCATAGCAGGAGATGATTACCCTTTCGACTCACCCGGTCTCGCTCCTTGTAGAGTGCTTGCCTTCTATATTGTTTCATTTGATTTATATATACAACAAAATTGAGAATGGAAATGGATTTACGAGATTTGAACATGTTGCTTCTTAATACATGTGCTTTCTTAAGTGAGCTCGGTGAATTATTGATTTGTCTGCGGACATCATATCGGGATTCTTGGGATTGAAAAGTTGAACCGCAAGCGTACCAAAGGAAGATTAGTCAGGAAACACGTGTCGCGGATGCACTGAAATCGGTATTTATTTTTTCAGACTAAATGTTTTAAGTCCAGGTATAAACAGACGAAGATGGGGATCGGCGTTTTGCATTTGCGCCGATCTGCATTTCATTTGCGCCGATTTTTTCTTTCATTTGCGCCGATTTTTTTTTTCATTTGCTCCGATTTTTTTTTTTCATTTGCGCCGATTTTTTTACAGGTAAATTACAGGTGAATGTTATTTTTCATTTATCATTATAGACCTCTTCCGTTCGCAAGTTGTACAAATGTTATGAATTGTCAATCATAACATGTATATAACTGTTGTCCTCTGCTCACCACGGGGAGGTGGAAGTAGGATTTTGAGCAGGATAAGTCAATTTAAAAGCACTATGTTCACATACTTTAAAATCAAGAAGTAAAAACCTAAGATAAAAGCACTCTGTTTTACTCTGTTTATACTAAAATGACGAATTAAAAATCTATTTACAACATTAAAGTCCATAAAAACGGAATACATTAAAATCATAAATCTGTTCTTGCCGAGTATTTATAGGCAACACATCTTATATGTTCCTTTCTTGTGATTTCGTCTCTATATTTGTCGTAATTGTCAATAACGAAGTCCATCTTTTCTTTCTCTGGCTAACGTACTGATGCGGGCATTTCTAGAGTTCGCATTTTAACATACGTAACGGCCTGGATTTTCTTAACTTAAATATAAGTGAGCAACGTTTATAACCAGATTTTACCAATATACATTCAAGGTATAGTACATGTACAAATATTTACTCACCTGTGTTAAACTGTAAATGCAATTAGGAGTAAATATAAAATCGGCGCAAATGAAAAAATGAAATCGGCGCAAATGAAAGAATGAAAATTTTAAAAATCGGCGCAAATGTCATACGCCAATGGGGATAAAAGCAGTCCGGCGGAATTACATGAACTAAGAATTGAGTTGCATGACGTTTGTCGATATGGGAGGTATACCCTGAATGAATGCATCACTCGTCATGGGATTTATAATTGTACCCAGCAGCTAAGCCAGGTATATGTCAAACCCTGAAAAAATGTCAGATAGACAATAGTGGATATGGATCTATGACATGATAAATTAAAAAACTGATAATAATGATCATCAAAAAAGTTAAGTTAAATTTTTAGTGGTTCTTCGTCAATTAATTTAATATCCTCCTTGAACATAGCGACCACCATAAAGAAACCATGATAGGGCATTAATATTAAAATATTCACACCGGATAACAAAGTCACATCGAAATCTATAAATTATCTTAGGAAATTAATCATTTCCGTAAAATTTTGCCTTTTCCTATTGGAAAGTATGATTATAACTAATGAAATGGATACAAACGCCTTACGAAATTTCATAAAAAGGACATTTTCATTGAAAATTTAAGTATGTGATGTTATATTCCAAACATGATTTGGTATTTTTCAATTACTATATCAGAACTCTAAGTTGGTGCAGTTGGTCATTTCATTTGTGTGTTCAGAAATAGCTTCGAATGTAGTCGGTCATTTCATTTGTGTGTTCAGAAATAGCTTCGAATGTATGCTTGTCTTTGTGAGAAAATTTGCTTAATACCCAGTGGCAACATAATGATATATTTTCTCAAAAAATGGTAGTTGAATTCAAATTATCAGATATATATTTCAGTCAAAGTTATTATGACATCACATGCAATTAATGTATAGAACCACTAATTCGGGTTCGGACCGAAATTAAACAAAATAGTTCGTACGCATTGTCAACAAGTAAAATATTCGTGTCATTTTGTTAACAAATAAAAGCTTAAGGATAATTGTAGAACACTTGTTAAACGTTTCTTTTAAATAATGAAAAAAATATATGCAATTAAAATAGGATGGCATATTTGCCCTGTTGCTCAGATCAGAAGGAGCGTTTTTGTACTTCCTGGAACCAGTGCGCTCTTATATGTAATTAAAGGTATGTTGAATTTTTCGGATAAGTTATAGTATTGACATGCAATGAATGTCACTTTGTTTTAGCATAAAACAAAATAATTATGAATGCTTGAAGATGCAGATTTAACATAGACAGCAATATGGCTATGAATTAGTGGTGTAATTCCTTATCAGGTGAGTTTAGATATAATTATGTGCTTATGATAAGATAAGAATCATTCCATGTGAAATAATCATTTTGGCAAGATTACTTGTCCTTATTCCAATCCTTGTTTATGGATCATTGGCGAAAAATTTCAAACGTATTCTTTTGACTGATCCAGACTACGCAGACAATCAGCAACTGCATAGGATATACAAAATTTAAAAGCTCTTATACAGCAACTGCAAGGAACAATTAAAAATCTGGGGACCACAGGTACTGTTTAATGAATTGAGACCTGCACAGTGGTATTTTTGTCATAGTTGTAAAAAGTTGTAGTACAAGCAAGGTATTGAAGAAATGTCTTAAGTATATTCCGGAAATTTCCAACCACTATTTCATAAATTGCATACGCTATTTTGTCATAAATGTAAACGACATTTGAAATACATTTTTAAAGAACCTCTTCAATAGAAAAAGAAGTGATTTGAAGAATACATAG